CCGGGGGTAGAAGGGGGGGGGGCCCTGCCGGGGGGAAGGGCTGCCCGCCGCAAGGGAGCTGCAGGCTGCAGTCCCCGCGAGCCCTTGCGGCTCACAGAGCTGCTCAGCGCTGCATCCTAGAGCAAGGAACCAGACAGGAGGCCTCCCAAGTGCTTGTTACCATCGGACAAGGCTCTTGGGGCAGCCCTAGGAATGCCCCCGTAATTCCCTGAGGAATGTTACTGAGAGCCTGCAGAGTGCCCTTCCTGCAAGCACAACACCCCACTTAAGTGGAACCTTCTTCTAAGCCCAGGTTTGTGCATCTAGATAAGGATGGCAATTACTGGAACAAAAACAAACAGGAACTCCCCCGGGCTCCCCACTTATAGCAGAATTTGGAGTTTCCAAAACAAATTATATTTATGGTATATAAGAAAAGGCCAGCAGCAGAATCACCATGTGAAAGCCCATCAGCATCCTTCACTTTGGATTCTCAAATGTCCGTTCCAGAAAAAAAAAAAAAGTTTAATCCACATCCCCCTGCCAAAAATAATTACCACATTCTGGAAACTCTAAGATGTATCCCTTTCATAAAAGCATAATTTAGCACTATTGCATACTTTAAATAAAATAAAAACCCACACCCGATACCACACACATCAGTAAAAACACCCATCAGCAGTTCTGACATGCAGGAACGGGCTGGCTCTTTCCAGTGTCAAGGGCAAAGACAAGTGGAAAGAGAAAAATTGGCCATGAACAAACTGCTAAACAAGCAGCCTGCTGCACCGAGCAGATACTGAAATCTCCCGTATGCTGTTTCTTTTTCAACCTGATGTGGCCTGTGAAAATGACTGAGTTTTTATTTTGGAAAGAGCATTGGACTATGGAGAAAATAGACATAACCCTCCAAAAGAAGGGGTGAGCAGCATATTCTTCAAAATAATTAAAAGCTTGAATTCTGTTCCTAATAGTGAAATAATCATGAAACAGTTTAGTTCAGTAAGCAGATCTAAAGCATAAAAATATCATTTTCACCTGGTTTAAGGTAGGAATTTTGTTTCCCTTTCTGCGAGATACTTTACATTGAGGTTGGTATTAGGAAAAGCTTACCTGTAAATTACTGGGAGAGACAGCCTGCTGGAGGCTTTCAAAGGCAGACAAAGCCAGTTCATGGTATTACAACCACGGTACGACTGCTGCGTCTCTGTTTTAGGCATTTTTAACGCGTTTTCAAAATTCAAGGGTAGCCAGCAAGCACTACAGAGTGAGCTTTGGGCATGGGAAACGTACCAGAAGTTGGAAATGCGGATTCAGACTTTGCACTATTTTTTAAAAAAATGCTTGTTTTGTTTTATTTAATTTTAAAACCTAATGCAAAGTACTTGAAAATGGTCCTACCTTCATACATCTCCAAAATGTGGACAGTATCGCCAACTTGCAGGGAGAGCTCCACGTCCTGCGCGGCATCGTAGTTGTAGATTGCTAGAAGCAGGAAGAGAGACACAGAGTTGTCTCCAGTTAACACACGAGCTGCCCACCAAAAGGTGCCATTTCCCCAGGCAACAGCTAGGGATCAGTTCGATAATTTTTATTAATGTTTCACAGAGCTGACTACAGCGGAATATTCGCAAACAGCGGCAAAACAAAATAAGAAATCTTAAATCAAAAAACTGCTACTCTTCTGTATTAAATGCCTCAAACTATTGTTACTAAAGGCTCTTTCCAGACAAGAACTAATTTTAGTATGAAAACTTGAGATTCGCTGCAAATTTAATCCCTGTGAAAGACGAAGCTAATCCGAACGCTTATCGCGGAGCCCGGGCCCCCGCGCGGGAGCAGCGGGACGGGGTCCAGGGCGGCGAGGAAGGGCCCGCGAGCCGAGCGCTCCCATCGGAACCGACCGACCCTTGTCCTTCCCGAAGCCCCGGCAGGAGCCCAGAGGAGGCCGCGTCAAACAGCAGTGCAATTCTACCCTGCACATGAGTGTCTAATGACGCCCCTCAGGTGCACGGGAAGCAGCAGCTCTCATCAAGTCTCCAATTGTTCCTGGATAGCTGTTGTCCAGGAAAACCCTTATGGGAAGTGCTTTCTTTTTTCTATTTCTGCTTTATTTTTTAAAAAAGTCAAATAAATCAGACACACACTTTCAGGGGCTCTGGGAAAGTTGTTTGTAGTTCACAGAGTTTGTATTTGAAGAACACTCTCTGAAAATTAAATAAATAAAATCAGCTGCAATGCCAGGAAATTCCCATCGAATGCCTATCATTTCTGTCAAGATGAGGTATCCTGCCTCCTGGCAAGGACCCATCTTAAAGGATTGTGGCTTACCACAACGGAAATTACCTAACATACACTGGTTTTCTTTAAAATATCCTAACTCTAAATAATCCAAGGGGAGGCGGCAGACGGTGCGAACTCCCTGCAGTGCCTAAACTAGCCCCCTCTCCCGAGCTGGAGGTGCACGTGTGTTTATACGTGTTGAATTCCTACACACAACTTGTAGCTGCCCTAGGCCCGAACGACCAGACTCTGCCGAAATGGAAGCATCTCTTTTGCCAGGAAATGCTGCTTTAGCTCCAGACAAAAGCAGCCTGAGCAGCACCAAGTGCCCAGGAGAGGTGGGCGGCATCAGACGAGTCTTTCTTTGGAAAACACAGCAGTTAATTGAAAACTGAAGAAGGCAGCAGCACCAGAGGAGCCGGGCACACAGCAGTGCCCTTCCTGCTCCCTCCCTGCCTTATGGGGAGGCTTTTGGAGCCAGGGTGCATGAGGAAGACGCTGCTGCCACCCCAGTTCACAGACAAGGCCTGCAGCACCATCCTTTGCCAGACGGAATGAAGCAAGACAGAAGGGCACAATGCACGAATCTCCTGCCCCGTGATTATGTGCACGGTTATAAAAGACAAATTGCTGGTGGATTTTCCCTGGGAGCTTTCCTGTTCGCAGCTGATACGTCCTACTGCTGGTCCCATCTGAATAGTTCATCCACAGTTATTTAAACCATTTAGCCTCTTTTTCATGCTGTGTATTTAATCTGACCTTTCTCCAGACTTAAAAGAACAAGGAAGTTGCACATAAACATGGTCATGGCATGAAGAAAAAAAATCTTCATGTAAGAACTTAGAAGTGCAGCAATGAGGCAATTAAAAAGACTCCTTGTCTGCCTGCATTTTCAGGAATTACTCGAGACTGGTCTTCACCTTCAAACTGAGTTTCAGACTTGTCTTTGAAATCCACTTTAGAAGGAGAATTCTGTTCCTTTTATCATCCTAAAGGAAAACTAACACTGAAGGCTAGAAAATCTGACTGGTAGTAAGAGCCAAAGAGGAAACACACAATCCTTCAGAACCAGACACCGTGTTTACTGTAGCGATCCTATTCTTTGATAGCTACAGGCAGGGCATCGTTTAGCTTAACGCACATGAGGGAGGCCTTGCTCTGCGACTAGCAGGGTTGCTGTAAGGAAGAGCCCCTCGCCCCATGCCACACGCGGGGCGAAAACCGGAGACTTGCAAAAACCCCTGGAGAGCCCCCAAAGCTTCGTCAGCGCATTCACCAGCGCGTTACGAGACCATCGCTCATCCCCAGGCCAGTTCTGGAAAGGAAGCCAGACTGAAGAGGCTGAAACCACATGAGCGAGGCAGAAGCGGTCAGGTATCGCTGTGCCTGCTTCAAGGTAGAATGAAACGACACCTTTTCCTCAATAACGCGCTGAAATGCATTTTAAAGGTAGATTATTGGCCTGACAGAAAAGCAGCTCTACGTCGAGACCCGTTATGTCCGGCTGGGCTCGGAACGCCCGCTCTGGCCCCCACGCTGCCCGTGCCGCCGCCAGCCCGGGGCTGTCCCTGCCCTCCTTCCCCACAAAGCAGCGCATTGAGCGCCCGGCAGCGCCCGGCCGCCCCGCAGC